AAGACCCTCGTCATCAGTCTCCCACGTCTCAATCTTGCATCCAGCGATTCCGTTGCCGCGCAGGTCCGTCACGCGTCCTTTGACGAACATGTACTCTCCCTTGCCCTCGGAAGCGATACTTCCGCCATTGGGGATCTAGATAGGGGCCATTAGTGGCTGAAGAGTTGACTTCGGTTAAGAATTCGCTCACGTCTTTGGCATCTTCGGTGAAGAAGGGACCCAACACGGTGCTCTCCGTAGCTCCCTCGGGCACGGGGTGGTTCATCGTGTCGACGAGAGCAGAGAGACCAAGGATGTCACTCAGGAGAATGAACTCCTGGCGAATGTCGGTGCAGATCTGACCGGTAGCGGTGAGGAACTGGATGGCGGCCCTGTTTCGGAGTTGTTCAGATCAGCTGCCTTTCCCTTGGGGACGTTACCAGCAAGCCCAACTTACATCCACTCCTCAGTAGTCAAAGATACCTCCTTGGCAAACTTGAGAGACGGAAGTCAGCTTCCGGACCCGACATAGCCAACGACGCCGTGCCAGCCACTGAGGCGCGTCGGATTATGCTCACCTGGTGGACGTGGGTCACGAGCTTCTCAAACACGAACTTGAGCCTCGGGTTCTCGCAGAGCGAGTTGATGGCAATGACCTATAGTGACACCTTTTGTCAGCTGGAGCCCCTCACACTTTCGAGGGTCCGGAAGCCAGTACCCACATTGTCGCAGAGAGAGTCGGCGGAGAGGTCGGTGAGGTTGGGCAGCTTGGACTGGGGGAGCGGAGCACCAGAGTTAGCTCCTGACTGTAGGTCTGCATCGTTTCTGTCAGTGACGAGTCCAGGAAAGCGGCTCACGAGGTCGACGTTGGGGGCACCTCTGCGAAAAACGTGTGTGCACGTGAGTGGATCTGGGCGGCGGCGGAGGGGAGCAGCGCAACTCACGAGTCGAGGGCCATCTGGATCGCCTTGCCGACCTTCTTGGGCTTGACCTCGGTAGCGTTAGGAGCAGACATTGTTGTAGAAAGTAGTGCAAGTTGTGAGTGCGGAGGTGTGTGGAGGAAAACGAAGGGAACGACGATTGGCGGAGACGCGCACGAACCGACGCTCCGGCCGGTCGGATCATTAGTTTGCGCAGCCGCGGATCAAGAATGGACCGGTGGGAGCTCCCTTCTTTCCCCCGACGCCCCACGTCAACTTTTGGTTCTGCACTTGACACTTTGCATCAACTCTCGACCGACAATGCAGCCGTTCGTGTACAACGCTCTCCCCGGAAGGGTCCTGTTCGGCTGGGGCACGACGTCCAAAGTCGCCGAAGAGATCAAGAGGTTGGGATGTGTACGCCCCGGTTCATCGCTACACCTTCGCGAGGATGCTCACTTCTTCTCACACAGTCCAAAGCCCTCATCCTCACCACTCCTTTCCAGGTCTCCTCGGGAGAGGAAGTCAAAAAGGCCATCGTAAGCACCCCACCACACCACACTTCTAAGCGAGCGCGAGAGCTACCGAGCTAATGAGAGCAACTGTAGGGAGACCTTGCGGTGGGAATGTACACGAATGCTACTATGCACACTCCCATGAACGTCACCAAGGAGGCGTTGGCCGTGTCGGAGAAGCTCGGGGCTGACTGTGTGGTGCGTCGGGTGTCATCATCCGACCGGTTGGTGCACAACAGTGGCGCCGGTCGTCCTGGGGATCAACCCATAGCTAACTCTCAACCCTCTGGGCATGGTGGCTAAAGGTGGCTATTGGTGGTGGATCGACTATCGGACTCGGCAAGGCTCTGGCGCTCCACTCGGACGGCAAGCTCAAGCAGATCGTTCTCCCTACCACGTGTTTGTCTTCTTTTCTACTTTGTGATGCATATAGTTCCATCATGCTGATGCACTTGAATGTGTAGACGCCGGATCCGAAGCTACGCCCATTATCGGCCAGAGTGAGACGGATGCCAACGGCGAGACGCTTAAGACGACGCAGAAGACCCTCAAGGTTCTCCCCGACGTCATTGTTTACGATATTGAGTGCGTACTTCCCAATCAAGACAATTTCCTTCCACACTCTAATGCTTCTTCACAGCTACTCCTTGACCCTCCCCGCCCAGATGACCGTCACGAGTGGACTCAACTCGATCGCGCACGCCGTCGAAGCCCTTTACGCTCCCGAGGCCAACCCGATTATCTCTTCCCTCGCCATCCAGGGAATTGAGTGTATTGCTCAGTCTATCCCTGCTATCATCAAGGATGCTGGGGACAAGGACGCGAGGTCGAACGCGCTCTTTGGTGCTTACTGTGGTGGCGCCGTCCTCGGTGCTGTTGGTATGAGTCTTCACCACAAGGTGAGCCTTTTTTTTGGCACTCTCGTGAAGAGAAAGGGAGGAAATCCGGGATTCAAGAGGTTCTGCGCCGGGACAGGCTCCCAGAAGTTGTCACCACACGTACTAATTCGATTCCATTCTCAGATCTGCCACACTCTCGGCGGCTCGTTCGGCATGCCCCACGCCGAGACGCACACCGTCATCCTCCCTCACGCCGTCGCTTATAACGCTCCTTACGCCAAAGAGGCCATCGCCAAAGTCGCGAAGGCACTCGGCGTCGACAATGCCGCCCAAGGCCTGTTCGACCTCGCGAAGGACAATGGCGCACCGTACTCGCTCAAGGAGCTCGGGTTCAAGGAGGAGGATCTGTCAAAGGCTGCTGATATTGCTGCTAGGACGCCTTAGTATGTCTATTTCTTTATAGAGCGAGTTGTGGTACAATGTTGACCCTCTGCGTTGCGTTCACAGCCCCAACCCGGCGCCTTTGGAGAGGGAGAAGCTGCTGACGCTCCTCACCAACGCGTTCCACGGCACTCGTCCCGAGTAGATCATCATTGTTCCTTTTTGCTGAATATAAATGTTTGCCTTGAGTAGAAGAACCCTTGCGAGAGGCCAGCGCTGACGTGGCAGAGCGCGGAAATCAGTTGGTGGTACGACGCGTTTACTGAGGATATGTGTGGGCTGGCGTACGCGCACCAAGTGAGTAATTTTCTTGTTATGAGAGGATTGAGGAAGATGGGTGGTGCAAAAAGTGGATGAACGCCCGCGCTCGGTCCGCCTCCTGTTGCTTCTCCTCCCGAGATGGTTCGTCGTCGCCTGCTTTGCTTCGTCCCATGACCAGCACCTTCCCTTACCATTGCCGTCGCCATTGCCGTCGCCATTGCCGTCGCCATTGCCGTCGCCATTGCCGTCGCTCTACAGCACCAGCGAGCAACGATGAGGGACAGTCCAGGCAGTGACGATTCCTCACGAGAGCTCAGCCAGCTGTTCGAGTCGATCATCGCCGCGTTCGAAGCGTCCAAACACCAGCAAAGCAAAAAAAAAAAAAAGAAACAGTCGTGCGAAAACGGCCCCGTGCAAAAAGAATTCGCGTGGCCGGGAATCGAACCCGGGGCTAGTGCAGCTCCTCCACTGTTGAAAGTGGCAAGCACCAATTTTACCACTAAACCACCACACGTTCTTAGATGTCGAGGCACTCCAAACTGTGCAACAGGACACTTTAGGGCTAAAAAAAGAAAATTTGATCTTCCACATCCGTCATCTTCGAGCCATACGATCTATACTTCTCAAGGATGTCCTCCTCCGGAAGAGGATTTACCAGGACGACGTCTACACCCGCGACTCCCCCAAGAGAGTCTGGACTTGGTGGGCACTCTTCTGCCTTCCCAGATCCCCCTCTTTCGACGACACCAGCTGGATTGAGACGGTTTCAAGCCTCAAGCTAAGTCTTCCACCTCGCTGGAGGTCCTACCTTGAAGCATGGGACAGCTCAGTCACCCTCTCTCCCTCCCTATCCTCCTCCAGGCTGGCGTGGTCCCTCACTGTCCTCGACCCTTCCAACGCCAACAAGCCAAATTTCCGCATCCCCTTAGCGTGGTTCTGTGAGGAGTGGAGTGGAAATGAGCTGAGTGATGCTTCGTTTGACAAGACCTCGTCCTCTCTCACCAAACACCACTACAGCACCATCCTCCCTGCCTGGACTCCTACCCCCACTTCCCTCCGCCCCTCCAACTGGAAAACGTACTGGAAATACCTCCGGATCCTTCGCCACATCCTCCCAGACCACACCAACACTGCCCACCTCCTCTCCCTTCGATCCCTCCACCCTGGTACCCAAGTTGCCGCTGCGCCCCCTCCTTTCGGTGGCACAGCCCCCTTCCCCAACAACCTCACTAAGGCGTGCCGGATCTGTCTCTCGCCCCAAGCTGAGTCCATTCAACACCTCTTCACTGAATGCGAGATCTCTACTGAAATATGGACTCTAGCTACAGATAACACCCTCTCTCACCCTTCCCTCCAACAACTCGTCTGCCCTTCCCCGCTCTCCAAGCAGCTCCTACCCTCCATCCTCCGCCAAACCCGCTTCATTCACGAGATCTGGACCCTCTCCCGCCCTCGACGCTTCTCCACCACTACACCACTCCTCCCCATCCCTCCCTCCGACCTAACCCGCATTGCCAGCCGCGTCTAAGGACGCCTTCCCCTGCGCGCCCTCCAGCCTGCTCCCGCTCCGCCTCCCCTCCCTCGCCTCCTCTCACTCCCCCCCACCTGGTTTTAGTGGGTATGGGTACACCGCCTGAGTCCCACACTGTCGAGTCCTTCTGGCTCGTCGTGCGTAATCTGCATTTAGCCTTGTTCTCCACTTCTCGATAGTAGTCAGCTGCAATTGAGTCGATAGATACAAAAAATTTGATAGTAGTCAGCTGCAATTGAGTCGATAGATACAAAAAATAAATAAATTTGAAACTGCATTTAGCCTTGTCCTCCACTTCTCGATCGTAGTCTGCTGCAATTGAGTCGATAGATACCAAGAAAAAAAAAATCTAGCCGTGGTAATCAGCTTCAGCGATGGCTGCCTCCCTCAACAAAACATGCTAGCTGAATAGCGGGTGGCTGTTTTTCGGAGCCAAGCACGCATTGGAGCAAATCGAGCGGCAAAAGAGGAGCAGCCCTCAAAGGCGGATATGGAAAAAAAAGCTTGAAAAAAGTGACCGACCCAGGACTCGAACCTGGAATCTCCTGATGAATACGGAATCGTAGTCAGACGCCTTAACCAATTGGGCCAGCCGGCCTTGATTTGCTTGTAGCAGTGGTCCAAAGTGACATTCCCAATACACACAAAGGATTTTGAAAAAATTTGGTCCACCCAGAACGGTTTTCTGGTCTCCTTCGCCGTCAAGACCTTTGTTGAATAAGCCTTTATATATGTGCTTCAACTCTAATGAATCGCAGCTTCATCAAAGGGCCGATTCTGGATGTCTACGTGGCAATCCACACCGAAATTCACTTCCCTGTCCCGCGCCAAGGAGGGCTCGTCTCCACATCTCGAGCTACTTCACTCTGCCTCAGACCCCACCCTTCAGGAAGCACCATCGGTTCCCTCGCGATAGCGAGAAGCGTGGGGGCTCAGAAGTTACTCCATGAATGCTCGCCGAGGTCCGATGGTAAGCAGCCAAAGGTCTTGATGGGCGGTTCCGAGATGCCATCCTCTGGACTTTTTGACTAGAGGGCTGAGCCTATGACGGAAGAGAGGCAACCGGGAGGTTGTTCGCATCTAGAGGTTGTCTGTCCCAACACTGGGAGCCGAGAGAGACAGCTCCGCCGCGCAAGTGTCCGAGACTTCGTTTTTTTCTTTCGCGGGGCAGTCGTCTGCGGCTTGCGAGGGAAGGTTGGACGTGAAAAGATGAAAAGAAGAAGAAAAGCGGGCATTTCCAAAGGATAGAACGGGGTTGTCGAGGGAGTGCACGCAACCAGCAGCACGGCCGCGTGCGTGCTGCAGCGCCCACAGTTCGACGTGGTGGCAGTGCCCAAAAAAAGACAGACGGGGCTGTTCTCGGTCACGTGGCGATAGAGTAGTTGAAGCTCTGGGTCGAGCTTCTAGAAGTCGGTATCTTGAAACTTTGTGGGCCGGGGGGAGGAGTCTAGAGTTGTCTGAACTCAGCGAGCACAGCCCACATTACAACTCTGCGCTCGAGGATCAAAAGGCTTCGCTCCAACGGCTCAGGGGGAAGCCCGCACGCGCGTGTGGGAATCTCGCGTCGCCCGATTCAGGAACGCCCGCGCTGGCCTGCCCCTTGGGTTTCTGCGCAGGCGGGTCAAGGGCCAGGAAGGGGAGAGCATGGACGCACGGGGCGGCGGAAGGAGCGAGAGGATGGACCAGGTGCTGCTCTGCCAGGTTAGGCTGTCGAGTTGGTGCATAGTTGGCCCCCCGCGAGCGATGCGGGAAAGGGAAATTTTCACGGGGACGGAGCCGTTGCACCTTGAAGGAAATAAAGCAGGCAAACAGGAGAGAGGAGAGGGGAGCAACGTGTGCACGAGAGGGAGGCAGGTGACATTTGGGCATGTCGAGAGAAGCACTCGTGGCGAGGCGAGGCAGACGCAGGCAAAAGCGTCAACCTGAAGCCCGCCCAGTCCTCCAGCGCCACGTTGCGAGGGCGGGAAATTTGGGGAGCCGGACCCGCAGGGGGGAGCGCACCCCCTTGATTTCCAGAGTCCGATTGGATCGCACTTCTCACCTACTTAGCTCTCTCGCTCGCCTTTCGGCTCTCCTTGGCCCAGCTCCTCGTAGGCTCTGCCTCCCTCCATCCACGTCGCCCCTCCTCTTCCGTAAGTGCTGCACCACGCCCCGAGACGAGCGAACTCAATCTCGTCCGCGCCACTATTCATTGAAAAGGCGGCCTGAGCTGACACTCGTTTC